CAGGGAAGACTATTGCACAGCTGACAGATGCTATGATTCAAAACTCTGCAGGAAAAGAGAAACTCAGGCACAGACAAAAGGTACCAAGTGTCAGAACTCCCCTGGAGCGAGTGAGGCTAAGAGTGGTAAAAAATGCTGCCACATTCATGATACTCACCAAAGGGTGGGAAAAGCTCCAGCTGGGTGTGAAACAATCACTGGGGGAGTGTAATTAAAAGGAGGTGGAAAAGTTCCCTTTAATCTCTAGCTTCTGGTTATTTGGTCATGATGTAATTAAACTTGAGGGAGATGGAGGGGGAAACACACCTCACCTCTCCCCAGGAGGTGTGAAGATGGGAACTGGGCTTGGGGGAAAGTGAGTAGATTCCACCTCGCCCCAGCACCAGGACCACTCTTCTCACAGAAGGAAAACCAAGGATCTTGGGATCACCCCAGCCAATCAGAAATACTGGAGTGACTAGCATATGGGGGCCTGCTAACTCTGCAGCTAGTTCCCCCTTCCCTAGCATAATGAGGGAGGAGATTTATATAATGTAGGTAGGAGCCTAACTATGATGTTTTCATGATCATTGGAACTGTTTAATGACTGAATGCATGTATTAAGTTTGAATTAATAAGTAGTTACACAAGATGTGCTGTCTGAAGGTGGGGTGCCAAAACATCCCTGGAGTACCGGTCAAGTAATCAAGCAAGAGTGCTTTCAATAAGGGAGAAATGTGGTGGATTGGGAGTATGTCTGTACAATTTATGAATTCTGGTCCATCTTGGGAAGTTGTACTATGAAAACCTGCTGTGCCTATATGCATGTAGATATATTATTGCTGACAGATCCTGTAGCAGGTTCACATCAGGCAGAAATATAATAGGATGGTGCTTAGGACTCCATGACTCTATTCAGGAACAAACCCTCTGAACAATGGGTGAGCTGCATTCTTAGGAAATCGGCTTAGCTGACTCACCTGAAGGGAAGGGGAAAGGAAAGAGCAATGGAAAATTACCCAAAAGACAGACTAAAAGAAGCCAGGGTGGATTTAAAATAGCAAGCTGCACAGAAACACGGAGAACCAGACAAGGAGGAGGCTTTGAGAGCAGGAGGGAGCAAAATCACCCAAAAATGTAGAAGCCCTATGATGCAGGGGGGCCCTGCCTGCTTTTCTGAGCCAAGATGGCTCTAAGAACTCTGTGCAACCCAAGGGACTCTGATTTGATCCCAAAGAATACCCTGGTGTGGTAAGGAAACTAAGACAGGTACACTGCATGTAATGTTTACTGTTTTGTATGATCCGTGCTCTCCTGTGCTTCACATACAGAAGTAGGTCTGTTGTGTCCAAGTATTACAATGGTGTCTGCACAATGGGCCCCTGATTATGCTCTTGGTATTTAGGCCCTCCTATAGTATAAATAAACAATTAATAGGAAATTTCATTCAGGCTTGTATCTTTTCTAGTATCCCCCACATCTGACAGTCCAACTCTCCCTTAAGTAATTTGAAGGAGAAGATTGGTTTATTTTCTAAAGAAGTATCCCCTAATCTCTTAGGCCTGGTCTACACTTACCCCCCAATGCGAACTAAGGTACACAACTTCAGCTACGTGAATAACGTAGCTGAAGTCGAAGTACCTTAGTTCGAACTTACCTCGGTCCACACGCGGCAGGCAGGCTCCCCCCGTATAGCTGGAGTACCGCAGTCGACGGCGATCACTTCCTGGTTCGACTTATCGCGTCCAGACAAGACGCGATAAGTCGAACCCAGAACTTCGATTCCCAGCCGCCGAACTAGCGGCTGAGTGTAGACATACCCTTATTAAGGCTCTGTTGGAAATGACTGGAATCAAATAGTACTTAACTTTAATGTCGTTGTCTTCTAAAGAGGAAAAATAATATTGTTCTGGAATTGGTCTGCCTCCAATTGGTGGGCAGAAGGGGAACAGTCCCTTGTCTGGACATAGTGGTTCCTAGGAAGAAAATACACAAATAAGACTGCATTTTCACTTCAGTTTCTTGACAACACTCCTATATACCAGAAGCTTGTTACAGATGGTGTCAGATTTTCATATAAACCAGTACTCTTTCCTAAACCTTTTGAAGGAGCAGGTGAAGCAAGGTTGCATAGTTTGGGAGTTAAATTGAATCTGGTTTATCCCTCTTCTTTCACCTTCCCTGGACATGATTGCATTAGAAAAATTCATGTCATTTCCAATAGGCCTCCTTTTCTGTTAATAAGTCTTCAACTAGCTGTTGATAGTAAGGTAGCAGAAGCGTGAATAGTAATATATTAGGAATTAATTGTGTGACCGGTGTAATATTTGAGAACCTCTCTTTGAAGCTCACTCTGTTTCAGCTGCATTATCTCTGCACTGTTAACATGAGTGTAAAGGAACAAAACTTGGTTTTGACACCAAAGTCAGCAGATCTGAGTACACAGGAGAACAGATCTGCTGAGTGAAAAGGTATCATTTTATACAGTCATTTTTCATATTAGAATCACATTTTGAAATCAGATGCCAAAAAAAAAATTAGCCATTGCATTGTGTATATTTAATTTAGTGTAACTAGTATCTGCTATTCTATTTGACTAAAATTAATGATAGAAAAGAAAAACTTTTTTTGGACATTGCAGGATGATTGTTACTACTCTGGATATGTGGAGGATGTCCCAGAATCTGTTGCCGTCCTCAGCACCTGCTCTGGACTCTGGTAATGTAAACTCCTCAGTATGCTAGATTGCAAACATTATGAATTTTCTTCTTCTGAAATGCGAAGGTAGATTTAACATAACAGAATAACTAGGTTAGTGCCCTTTTACTTTTTCCTAATGCAGATTTCATGCTAATGACCATGTTAAGGGTCATTTGCTGCCACTGCATAGGGCTAGAATCACAAATTTATCATCTTAATTTTTTATTCTATTTTATAGATTTTAAAACAGTATGTAGTGTGGTAATGACTGATCTGTGGCATAATGACCATTTGAGGGCCTTCTGGCTTGTAATTGTGCCTCCCAAAGGTGGCAGTGTTACCAAGAACATTGATATTTGATTGTAAATCGGAAATGTTTGTCTCTCAATAGCACTTTCCTTTTAGAAGGGAAGGGAGGAAATTTCTGTTAAAGTTCTACAAAAACTGCATTATATATCAAAAATAATTCAGATGGAAAATTCTGGACCAGCTCTAATATTTTTGTAGAATTTTTCAATTTTTCCAAATCTCTAAATCACATTTCATTTTGCAATTCTCAGGGGACATTTGAAGATTTATGATTTAAACTATGAAATTGAACCTGTTAAATCTTCCTCTACATTTCAACACATTATTTATCAAATGGCAGCTGATACAGACTCACCTGGTCGATGTGGAGTAGCTGATGAAGATATCGAAGATCAAACAGCCAATGGCAGAGAACATCAAATATCTAAGGTTCAGATGGAGAGACAACTTGTAATAGATGTAAGTGTTTTATATGGGTTCACATAAAATAAATGGCTAGTATGTGCAGGGGTAGTCAATAGGCAGACCGTGGGCCAAATCTGGACCGTCAGGTGCTTTTGAATGGATGCCAAAATCTTTTTATTATTATTGGATTTTTTATTATTTTCTCTGGAGTCTGGACCTTGACTATACCTTGACCAAGAAATTTGGACCGTCACAAAAAATAATTGACCATCCCCCAGGTGGAACATACTAAGGGTACGTCTATACTTACCCGCTGGTTCGGCGGCAAGCAATCGATCTTCTGGGCGGCAAGCAATCGATCTTCTGGGATCGATTTATCGCGTCTTGTCTAGACGCGATAAATCGATCCCGGAAGTGCTCGCCGTCGACGCCGGTAATCCTACTCCTCGAGAGGAGTAGGCGGAGTCGACGGGGGAGCCTGCCTGCCACGTGTGGACCCGCGGTAAGTACCTTTAAGTTCGAACTAAGATACTTCGACTTCAGCTACGTTATTCACGTATCTTAGTTTGAACTGGTGACCAGCCCTTAGTTATGCATGTTAGGCCCATTTTTCAAACTCATTGTCGGAAGTGACCTCAGTTGTGCTGGAAATTCACTTTGTAGTCAGGGGAACAAATTAATTCTGTTTATCCTTCCATAAATCTGGTAACTAAAAGCATTCCTATCTATTGATTGTGAAGGAAGTAGTTTGTCAGCCTCATGGAATCTATTCAACGTGTGCCTAAATGCCCCAGTTGGTAATCCCAGTTCTATTTCCCTTTGCTGATTTCTTTCTAGAAATGTTGTCAGTTCCCTTCTTTTTTCAGGGTCAGATAAAGTCCAGTATTCCACTTCCATCTGGCAAAAGAAGGATATCCCCTTCCCCCCATGTGTTTCACTTAGGGAAGGCCTAATACTCTGGGAAAGAAAGAGTACTGGGTCTACACTAGACTCTGTTAGGACCCAGACCCTCAACATCCAATAAACAGTCCCTGGGAAAGACAGAAGATTTAAAACCAAGGATAAGGTTATGGTCTGTGGGACATATTTAGACACTGGCTGAAAGAAATCCCTCTGGCATATGCAAGCTCTTGTGGTAAACCTCTTGCTAATAGCTAAAATTCTCTGCTGTCCCTTCTGCTACCCACAACTAAGTCTCCTCCCCTGGAAGACCACAGTCTTGGTCTCAGTGGGGTACTGTGATGGGGGTGTAAACCCCACACTGGAGAAGTAAGGATTAAGGAGCAACTCTGGGCCCAGAAAGCCCTGCCCAGCTACCCCTGGTGGGCATGCTCACGGTGGAGGCTGAGCTCAAAGGGAGCAGTTTAGCTCAGTCTGGGTGGATGGAGCAGGAGAGCAGCTGTGTGTTGCAGGCTCCGGCTGAGAAGCCCCTGAGGCCCCATGCAGCTGGGCCTAGTCCTCAATGCCAAGCTGCCACAGGCCTTTCAATTGCGGAGATCAGCAACGATGAGCTGTGAATGTGAGAGGAAGACCCTTTGGATCACAGACAGAGAGAACTCCAGAAGGGACTCAGAGGCAAACCAGTGACACCAACAGAGGAACAGAATCTGGGGTAGGAAGTGGCCCAGGGAGGAGACATAGATGCATCCAACTCTTAGGCTGCACATTTTTGAATTACTGCTTCATTGGGCTCTGGGTTGGAACCCGGAGGAGCAGGGAGGGCCTGAGTTCCCTTACTCCCAGCCATTGATGCTCACTGCTAGGTGACATAACTCAGAGTACTGCCACCTTGTGATGTTGCTGGGATTGGACCCAAACCCACCCCCTCCTATACATGGTGGAGAACATGGGCAACAGCCAAGTCCTGTTAAAAGGACCACTGGACCACTGATTGAATGACTTAAAGAGGCCATGGATATAGAAAAGCTACTGAAATGGATTTTGGAGAACTACCTGCAGCAAGGACAGATACTGCAACAGATTGCCGCCCAGGAACAACAGATAATTTGGGAGCTGGCAGCCCAGCACCAGGCAAAACAAGAACACCTGATCCAGAAGGTGGCGATGCTATTATAGCCCCAGGGGGCATGCACATCACAGCTCCTGGGCCTGTAGGACATGCCCTCCCCACTGAGCTGCTCATCTGGCTCATGAAAATGGGCCCTGGAGGTGACTCTGAAGCCTTATTGATCACCTTTGAATGGGTGGCCACCGTGGCACGTTGGCCACCAGAACATTGGGCCACCCTGATCACCCCATACTTGACCAACCCTGTGCAATTGGTCTATTGGAGGTTGGACCCCACTGAAGCACAAGAGAACTCGACTACTTAGATATCAACCCCGATATGTTCTACTGGAGGTTTATTAAAGTGAGATACCTGGCCCTGCATGGTGGTCCAGTGTCTCAAGGACCAGTGGCACTGCTTAGACCCAGAAAAACAGGCCATAGTGCAGGTGGTGGAAATTCTTGTGTTAGAACAGTTCGTCCATATTCTCCCAGCCGCGGCAAAGGAGTGGGTGAAGCACCATCCAATGTCAACCCTGGCAGAGGCCATGACTCTAATGGAGATCTACATGTTTGTTGAGGGGCTGGCCTCACTGACACCAAGGGCAATGCCCCTGAAAGAAAGATTCTGACCCCTAGCAGGGGCCGGGCTAGGAAGGAAGGTTGAGAACATCTACATCAGCTGTTATCCTAGGAGGTGCCCCTGGCCACAGGGAGAGGCCTAAATGCAGAGGCAGAATGGAGGGGGGGACCAGGGCCCCCAAAGAGGGGGATATGCCCCATCAGGAGGACCCACTGCATCAGAGGCAGGCCAGCCAACAATGACCCCAAAGGGCAAATGCTTCGAATGTGGATGGCAGGGACATTTCAAGTGGGAGTGCCCGTTTGTGGACTCCAGTTATGGGTAGGCATTGACAGCAGTCACCCGAGCCCGGAAACAGGGCCCGACTAAGATGTTGCTGTCAGTATGCGTCAATGGCACCAAAGTATGGGCGTGATGGACTCTGGATGTAGCTAGACCATCATGTGGACTAGCCTTCTGGAGTCCCCTTACATGGTGGGACCCCGCTATCTACTTCCAGTACATCCACAGGGATGTGCTGCCCTACCCCGTGAGAAAAGTGCAACTGGAAGTACAGAGCCACACTGAGACTTGCCGAGTCAGCTTAGTGACCACTCTGGTCCACCCAGTAATATTGGGACAAGACTGGAGATGGTTTGGAGAACTCCAGCAGCAGTGGAACAAAAATCCCCTCCTCGACAGAGGCTGACCCAAGCCCAGGAATGAGGGGCTTATGTGACAGGGCAAGACAGAGGGTCCTGGTGTGGGACCCTCAGGCCAGCCAAGAATGCTGACCCACCAGCACCACATCCAGCCTTCACCCAGTTTTAGGACATAAAAACTAACTTCTTATTTGGACTTCAGTCCTTCTGTGCATGAAGGGTTGTGGGATTTGATGGGTTACACCAAGCAACTGCAGGTAGTTTTGGTTTCCCAGTGGAAAAACATGAAGAACCACTGCTCTAAAGAAGCCTATTAGCAAAGGAAAATGATTATATTTTTATAGTAGCACTTACCCAGTGCTGCTGCACTTCATGCAATTCTTTTCCAATTTATAGTGTTGGTGCCAAAAAAATGGTATTTTGGAGAATCATAGAACTATAGAATTGTATGACTGAAAGGGACCTTAAGAGGTCATCTAGTCCAGTCCCCTGAATTCATGACAGGACTATGTATTATCTAGACCATCCCTGACAGGTGTTGTCTAACCTGCTCTTAAAAATCTCCAATGATGGACATTCCACAACCTCCCTAGGCAATTTATTCCAGTGCTTAACCACCCTGACAGTTAGGAAGTTTTTTCCTAATGTCTAACATAAATTGCCCTTGCTGAAATTTAAGCCCGTTGCTTCTTGTCCTATCCTCAGAGGTTAAAGAGAACAATTTTTCTCCCTCCTCCTTGTAACAACCTTTTATGTACTTGAAAACTGTCATCGTGTCCCATCAGTCTTCCTTTCTCCAGACTAAATGAACCCATTTTTTCCAATCTTCCCTCATAGGTAATGTTTTCTAGACATGTAATCATTTTTGTTGCTCTTCTTTGGACTTTCTCCAATTTGTCCATGTGACGGGATGTGCTTGCCCTGCACTGGTACTGCAAGGGTTAATTCTACTCTCTGGGCTGAGGAGGACACACCCCCTTGGCCCTGCTGGGCATACTCTGGCTGGGAAATAGGTATAAAAGGGAGCAGCTCAGCCTATTCAGGGCTGACTGCAGAAGAGGGAGGACCACATGCTGCAAGCTCTAATCCGGGAGCAGCTGAAGCCCGAGATGGCAGAAGCCAGAGACACCGAGACCCAGGAGAACGCCCAAGGAGTGACCGATCCACATAGACTGAAGAGTCCAGAGACCCCAGAGATGCCAGGACCACTGCGCCAGGGACAGGGTAAGAAGTAGCTCAGGTAGTCATTGTGATGAGTGGTGTCAGTATATTTTGGGCGGATTCCCCACTGACCACGGGCGAGAATAGTTGCCTCCGACAGGGCCCTGAACTGGGACCCGGTGGAGCAGGGGGGGCCTGGGTCCCCCTATCAGGTCGCCACCCCTAGGTGGGGGCCTACTCCCCTGACTGGCCGCTAGGCCACACAGCCCTACTGAAGTGGGCAGGTATACCGACTCTGGCCATTGGGCCATGCAGCTCTGAGAGAAGGCAGCCCTACTGACTCTGGCTGCTAGGCCACACAACCCTACTGAAATGAGCAGTTATACTGACTCTGGCCATTGGGCCTGAGAAAGGGTAGTCCTACTGACTCTGGCCACTAGGCCACCCAGCCCTACTGAAGATGGTAGCCCAACTTACTCTGGCCGCTAGGCCACACAATCCTACTGATGTGGCAGTTATACTGACTCTGGCCATTGGGCCATACAGCCCTAAGAGACGGCAGCCCTACTGACCCTGGCCGCTAGGCCACACAGCCCTCCTGAACCGGAAGGTCATACTGCTGGTGGCCATACACCCAGCTGAACCAGCTAGCCAGACTGACTTGGTTAGGTCCCACAGCCCTGTGGGAGAGGGCTTCACAATGGCTCTAGCCGTTGGGCCATGCAACCCTGAGAGAAAGGGTGGCCATATTGACTTTTGCCCCAAGGCCATACTACCCCAAGACTAGGGGTGATTGTGTAGACACAGCCGCAGTGAAATATTTACCCTCACCCCGCCCAAAGGCAGGATGGGGTGCGCTTTCCCTGCAACAGTCAACATCTTTCATGAAGTGTGGCACCCAAAGCTGGACACAATACTCCAGCTGAGGCCTATTCAGCTTGGAGTAGAGTGGAAGAATTACTTCTCATGTCTTTTTTACAACACTCCTGCTAACAAATCCCAGAATGATGTTTGCTGTTTTTGCAACAGTGCTACACTCATATTTAGCTTGTGATCCACTACGACCCCTGTGACATTCTATACCTTGGGAGAGCATCTTGTAACCCCCATATTCTTCATTTGTATATAATTGTGATATTGCATAAAAGCATTCCATGTGAGGTATCAGGGGAAAGGTTATGATCTGCTGAAAGTTATTTCTCTGTCCATATATGTATATCATTAATGCATATGGAGTTATGAGAATTGTGTTGTATGGTTGTCACTAAAACATGCTCTAAGTTAGGGAAGCAGCCAGATATTAGCTCCCCATAGGCCACAGCAAGGAAAGTAACCGAAATCCAGGCGGGGTGTCAAATAACCCATCAACAACCATTGTCCAGCAAGGGAGCTACAACGCAATTACTCACCTGCATGGGGCCACACCAGGGGAATTGCTCAACCTTGCCTGGAGACTCAGCAATGCCCACCCAGGCATGCCTGGATTTGTGTTCTCCAAGCACATGGACTGAGGGTATAAAACTGAACAGAGGGGGCCCATGCTTGGCCTTTCTCCTGCACCTACCTATGCTGCAAGCAACAAGGACACTCTGAAGACTCCAACTGAGGGGACTGGCCCAGATTTCAAGGGTGAAATCTGTATACTATGGACTGAAATATCCAGTGGGCTGAGAAAACCTGCTTAATCTAGATGTTGCCCAGTCTAATAGGATTGAGAGTTTAGACTGTGTGCTTATATTTTCTTTTCTTTTTGGTAACTAACTCTGACTTTTTGCCTATCACTAAAATCTATCTTTTGTAGTCAATACATTTGTTTTACTGTTTATCTTTACCAGTGACTTTGTATGAGGTGTGTGGCAAATCTGCTCAGGTTTTGCAAAGGCTGGTGTATATCCACTTTCCATTGAAGAAGTGGTGAACCAATTAATAAATCTGCATTGCTCGTCTTGAGTAGTGCAAGATCGTATATTCCTGAGCTACGGTGCTGGGAGCTGTGGGGGCGGGATTGGGCTGGTGCCTTTCTCTGTGTGATTCATGAGTGGCTCTGGGAGTATTCATGCAATTTATCTGGGTGTTGGGCTCGACATGCGGTTGTGCTGAGTGATAACAGCGCCTGGAGGGGGTTGCTGCTGATCACTAGCGAGGCATTGTGAGAGACAGTCCAGGCTGGAGAGAGTTCAGGGAGCACAGCGGTCCCACGGTCCGAGGCTGCAGCACGGGGATCCTGTCACAACCCCCAGGTCCCTTTCTGTACTACTCCTTTCTAGGCACTCATTTCCTATGTTGTATGTGTGCAACTGATGGTTCTTTCCTAAGTGGAGTACTTCGCATTTTTCCTTATTGAATTTAATCCTGTTTCCTTCAGACCATTTCTCCAGTTTGTCCAGATCATTCTGAATTTTAATCCTATCCTCCAAAGAACTTGCAACCCCTCGCAGCTTGGTATCGTCCACAAATTTTATAAGTGTGCTCTCTATGCACTTATCTAAACTGAATCACTGATAACTACTCTCTGGGAATGGTTTTCTCACCAGTTATGCAGTCACCTTATAGTAGCTCCATTTAGGTTGTATTTCCCTAGTTTGTTTATGAGAAGGTCATGTGAAGCAGTATCAAAAGTCTTACTAAAGTCAAGACATACCACACTTCCCCCTATCCTCAAGACTTGTTATCCTGTCAAAGAATTATAATTCTGTAAGATTTTCCCCTTGGGTGAGTGACATAATACAGGAGGGTATGGTCCAGGGTTGTATTTCTGTGATTCTACATGCATTTAAACACCTCAATTTACTGTACATAACCCTGCTTTACGTGTCTTTACTTCCAGGAAGGTGAACTAAACACTTTGTACACATCTACCAGATATTTAGAGTGTTATTTTGTTGCAGACAAAGCAAAGGTAAGTAATCAAATGATAGTGTTTTGTTCTAATTATAATGTCAGACTTACAAACTATTTTAGTAGTGATCCTTCTGCATTTAAATCTCCCAGTAAAATATTTGTATGAAATGTTGAAGTTTGATGTATAGATTAGGATGTGAATTATTCTCCTTAGTCATTGGTTAGAAATATAGATATGCCCTTCAGTTGATGAAAGTTGGACATTTTAAAATCAACAGGTCCACGTAACTCGTGTCAAACAGTTTTAAGAGAGCTGGCTGATGAATTTGCTGAAACACTGATGCTGATTTTCAATAAATCTGAGAACACTGGGGAAGTTCCAGAAGACTGGAAGAAAGTTTATGTTGTGCCAATACTTAAAAAGGGTAAATGGGATGACCCAATTAGTTATAGGTAAGGCTACGATTTAGTGACAGAGGTCACGGAAGTCACAGAATTTGTGACTTCCAGTGACCTCCATGACTTCTGCCTGTAGTGGTCAGGAGCTGCAGGGTCCCCTGCTGCCTGCGGAGGCTGGGAGCTGCAGGGTCCCCCACCGCCTACGGAGGCCTGGAGCTGCAGGGTCCCCCGCCATTCACAGGTGCAGGGACCTGCGGGGTATCCCTGCCACCTCTGGAAGCCCCCGGAACTCCAAGTCACCAGGGAACCCCCAGAGCTCCCAGTCACCGAGGACGGTGGGAGAACTCCCAAGTTCCCTGCCGCTACCATGGCCAGGCAGAGGGGCATCCCCCCCAGGTCCCAGCTGCTCCACTTCAGGCAGGGTGGGGACCCACAGATCCCCATTTTGTCATGGATATTTTTTGTAAAAGTCACGGACAGGACATGGTTTCATGAATTTTTCTTTTTTGCCCATGACCTGTCCGTGACTTTTACTAAAAATATCTGTGGCAAAATCTTAGCCTTAATTATAGGCCTGTCAGACTGACATCGATCCGGAGGAACATAGTGGACTGACTGATACAGGACTAGATTAATAAAGAGTTAGAGGAGGGTAATATAATTAATGCCAATTAACATGGGTTTATGGAGAATAGATTCTGTCAAAGTAAGCTGTTATCTTTTTTCATGAGATAACAAGTTGGGCTGATAAAGTAATAGTGTTCATGTAATAGACTTCTTTAAGGCATTTGGCTTGATACTGCACAACATTTCAGTTAAAAAACTAGAATGATATAAACTTAGCATGGCACACATTAAAAAGATTAAAAGTTGGCTAAATGGTTAGGTCTTAAAATGTAATTGTAACAGGCAATCATCGAGTGGGTGTGTTTATAGTGGGGTCCTGCAGGGATCAGTTCTTGTCCCTATGCTGTTTAACATTCTTCTTCGAGTGCTTGCTCATGTCTATTCCATCAAGCAGGTGTGTGTGCTTGCCACATGTACCGGTGCCGGAAGTTCCCCCTCAGTGGTATCCATAGGGGACCGGCTCTGGCTCCCTCTGGAATGGTATGTGTATGCTGTGGTATAAGGGACACTGCCAGTTCCCCCCACTCTCAGTTCCTTCTTATTGCCAGTGTCGGTGCTGGAACGTCTACTTGCCTCAGCAAGCTTACTCCCCTCAACTGTTCATTGTTAACTTTGCTGTATATAGTTGTTGAAAAGTTGTGAGTTTTTAGTTTGTGTAGTTTAGTGTTAGTTTGTAGTCCCTGACGGGATTTCGCCTACGGGACGGGGCATGCCCAGGTCCTCGGGCTTCAATCCCTGTGACTTGCAAAAAACCTATGCCAGTCAGTGACCCCCACAGCAGTTGTTTGAAGTGCTTAGGGGAAACCCATGTTAGCAACAAGTTTTGCATTTGTAAAAGCTTTAAACTTCGGACCAAAAAGGAGCACCAGAGCCATCCAGATCAGACTGTGCTCCTAGCACCGTGGTCTCTGTGTGGAACATGCCGCCGGCGACGACTGTGGACTGGCATCGATCCCCCTCCCCAGTACCAGCTAGAAAGCAAAGAAAGGCCAGGAGGGGACAGTCTCCTGTGTCCCATAAAGGGAAGGAGAGGGCCAGAGGAGAGCAAAGACCTGTGAGGGGCAACTCTTCACCTCTGGATGGAGGTCGGGCCTCAGCTCCTGCTGAGCGAGCTAGCCCACTCCAGTGCTCGCCCACCACCCTGGGAAGCAGCAGAGGCATTTGGCACCTGGCAGTGTCGTCCACACCAGAGGCCTTTCAGGTCTCAAAGGACATTCTGTCCCTACCGGTGCCACCCGTTCCGGCCACAGAGGTGTCCCGTTTCAGGGGAAAACCTGCCTTGGGACCCTTCCAATGGTCCCCATCAGTGCGGCACTGCTCCTCACCACAGGGAGTGTCCCCCCAGCGCTCGCCTGCGCAGAACCACCATGCCCCGGTTATGGGTCAGCCCACTCGTCAGAGTCCCCAGCGTCAGTCCCCAGACTCCAGGCAGTGCTCCTCTGGGTCGAGGAGGCGATCGCCAGTGGAACGGCGCAGACCTACAGAGTTGCGGCACCTATCCTCGCGGCCCCAGTGCCAGTGATGCCTGAGCTGCTCTCCCAGTGTACAGCACTGCTCTGGCGATTCGCGCCGCTGGTCCAAGGACCCTGTTACAAGTTGCTGGAACACCTGTATGGTTCTCTGGCGGTGTGCCCATGATCCCTGGTGCGACGGCCTACCCGCTACCGTTCCTGCTCCCGCTCGACGGACCGCTTGCTAAGCGTAAGGCGTAGATCGCTGGGTTACTGTCACCAATCCACCGAACGGCACCACCAGTCACTGGGATCACGGCACCGAGGGTCATCCCCCTTGTGCAGATCCTCAGCGGAGCTCCAGGTTCGGCACCAACAGGAACCGGGTAGCAGACGGCCTCGGCACCGTCGTGGTCCCCCTGATGTGGACCTTCCTCCTCGGGCTCCAACAGCGAGGAGGATTCCCTGCCAGTGAGTCAGGGCCACCCATCGGGGGCACTGGCTTTCACCACAGCACCTCCCAGTGCAGCATGGCCTAAGGGCTAGTGGCCTGCTCCCAGCACCTTGGGAATCCCTGGGGGTTTCCATAGCCCTCACAGGGGCATAAATCAGATTCAGGGGCATTGGACAAGCGGTTGGCGATGGTCTAACATCCTAGATGTGACTCTAGAGCGAACCCCTCAGGGTCACCCAGCCACAGCAGAGGTGCCCATGGAGGAGGTGACAGAGGTGGCAGACCCACCGGTACCTGCCTCCTCTTCATCCTCGCCTGACAAGGCGATTACGGAGCCCTCTCACCCAGTCCCCGACGATGATGCCAAGGCTCATCAAGAGCTCTTAAAGAGGATCGCCTCAAATCTGGGGCTTGAAGCTGAGGGGTATGGAACAGTTTCCATATGAGGACAGATTAATACGAATGAGACTTTTCAGCTTTGAAAAGAGATGACTAAGGGGGGATGTGATAGAGGTCTATAAAATCATGACTGGTATGGAGATTGTAAATAAGGAAGTATTATTTATTCCTTCTCTTAACAGAAGAACTAGGGGTCACCAAATTAAATTAACAGGAAGCAGGTTTAAAACAAACAAAAGGAAATATTTCTTCACAGAATGCACAATCAATCTGTGGAACTCTTGGCCTTTATAACATCCTCTGGCAAAGACTATAACCAGGTTTAAAAAGGAACTAGATAAATTCATGGAGGATAGGTCCATCAATGGCTGTTAACCAGTATGGGCAGGGATGGTTTTCCTAACCTCTGTTTGCCAGAAGATGGGAATGGATGACGGGATGGATCACTTGATGATTACCTGGTCTGTTCATTCCCTCTTGGAGCACCTGGCATTGGCCACTGTTGGAAGACAGGATAGTGGCTAAATGGACCATTGGTCTGACATAGTATGGATGTTCTTATGTTCGAATACATATTTTGCTCAAATTTAAAATTTATTATTAGATAATAAATAATGCTAAGATTTAGACATGGGTATTTTTAGTCATAGATAGATCATGGGCAATAAACAAAAATTCACGGCCCCGTGACCAGTCCATGACTTGTACTATAAATACCCCTAAATCTTTGGTGTTCTGGGGGGCTCCGAGGGCGCAGCTGCTGCTCTGGAGGGGTTTTTTGGGGCACCCACTGGTGCTGGGGAGGTCTCCAGGGCACCTGCTGGTGTGTGGGGGCGCGTCTCCAGGGCACCCGCTAGTGCTCAGGAAGGGGGCTGCGGGGCACCTGCTGGTGCTCAGGGTGGGGGCTTCATGGTGCTTGCTGGTGCTTAGGGGGAGAAGGGTGGCCTGGGACAGCAGCAGCCGCTGCTGGCTGGGGCAGCCCTGCCAGTCCCAGACCATGAAAGCCGCTGCTGGCAGGAGACAGCCCAATCGACCCAGGACTGCGGTAGCTGCTGCTGGCCTGGGGTGGCCCCAACAGTCTGGGACTGCGGCAGCCGGGGCTGGCAGAAACCAGCCCTGCCGGCTTGGGACTGCGGCAGCCGCTGCTGGGATGAGATGGCCCAGGACCGCCGCTGTTGCTGGTGGGGCTGCGGTGTAGCTGGCCCCAGGTCTGTCAGAGCTGCTCAGGCGGCCACCGGGTCAGTTGCACTTGCTGGCTGCAGAAGTCATGGAGGTCCTAGAGAGTCACGGAATCCATGACTTCCATGACCTCTGTGACAGACTCGCAGCCTTAATAATAAATAATAGATAATAAAAGGCTTGAAGCTAAAATAGGGAATTATAGTAGCTAAATTGTGAGTTCTTAATTTTCTACAAAAAGAACAGGAGTACTTGTAGCACCTCAGAGGCTAACAAATTTATTTGAGCATAAGCTTTCTTGGGCTACAGCCCACTTCATCAGATGCATAGAACTGCTGAACTTGAATTAATATGCAAACTAGATACTATTAATTTAGGCTTGAATAGAGACTGGGAATGGCTGAGTCATTACACAGATTGAATCCCATGAAAGCTTGTGCTCAAATAAATTTGTTAGTCTCTAAAGTGCCACAAGTACTCCTGCTCTTTTTGCGGATACAGACTAATAACACAGCTGCTACTTTGAAACCCTTAATTTTCTAGAAATTATTAGCTATTTTTAAAATAGACTATGGAATTTCATTGTTGTGACTGATTCAAAAATATTTCTGAGCAGCAGCAGTTATTATACCAATTCCTTGCTTAGAAATCATTAGCCATGTCACTCTCCAGTATAATTTGGGTGATTTGAAAACTACTAGAAAAGTTGTTATAGGGGCATATATTGAGCTGCAAGAGAGAAATAATAAGATCATCTTCTGCCTTTCATATTGTATTTACTTAACTACAGTAACTCCTCACTTAAAGTTGTCCCGGTTAATGTTGTTTCGTTGTTAGATTGCGGATCAATTAGGGAACATGCTCACTTAAAGTTGTGTAATGCTCCCTTCTAACGTCTTTGGCAGCCGCCTGCTTTGTCTACTGCTTGCAGGAAGAGCAGCCCGTTGCAGCTAGCTGGTGGGGGCTTGGAACCAGGGTGGACCGGCAGCCCCCCATCAGCTTCCTGCTCCCCTAAGTTCCCTGTGCAGCAGCTGCCCGCAGTTCAGCTGTGTCCCTCCCCCCACTGCCATGTGCTGCTCCTGCCCTCTGCCTTGGAGCTGCTCCCTGAGACTCCTGCTTGCTGTGTGGGGGGGAGGGAAGGAAGAGGGGGGCTAATGTCAGGGTGCCCCCTCCCCCCTGCTCCTGCACCCTGCTTACCCCATCTTCCATAGAGCAGGCGGGACACACCAGGGCTCAGGAGGAGGGAGCTTGCAGCAGCTGCGGTCTCAGCAAGCTGATCTAATTAACAAGGCAGTGCACTTAAAGGGGAAATGCGCATATCTCCCTCCATTCCTGCTGTCTTGTAGAGTGAGAGCGTTAACCCTTGAGGGCTCAGCCAATTGCTAGTTCATCATTTAGCAGTAAGGGAAATATCCCACCCTCTGACTCCTCCACCTCAACCAAGCTTCACAATCATTATCACTGTGTACCAGTATTAAATTGTTTGGTGAAAAAAATTTCCCTGGAACCTAACCCCCTCATTTACATTAATTCTTATGGGGAAATTGGATTCACTTAACATGCTTAAAGTCGCATTTTTCAGGAACATAACTACAACGTTAAGTGAGGAGTTACTGTACTCCTATCTCGAATTAAATAGTGAGATATGAATACCTAAAAAAAAAAAGAAACTAGCCAAGCCTATACAAGTTTAGGTGATGTATGTATATACATGCAGGGGAGGGGAATCACACCTGTAGCTCATATTGTAGACCAGGGATCGGCAACCTTTGGCATGCGGCTTGCCAGGGTAAGCACCCTGGCGGGCCGGGCCAGTTTGTTTACCTGACGCGTCCACGGGTTCGGCGGTTCGTGGCTCTCACTGATCGCAGTTCGCCTCTCCAGGCAGGGGGCGGCGGGAAGCGGCACTGGCCGAGGGATGTGCTGGCCGCCGCTTCCCACCGCCCCCATTGGCCTGGAGCGGCAAACGGTGGCCATTGGGAGCCGCGATCGGCCGAACCTGCGGACGTGGCAGGTAAACAAACCGGCCCGGTCCGCCAGGGTGCTTACCCTGGTGGGCCGCATGCCAAAGGTTGCCGATCCCTGTTGTAGACATAGCCATAAATGCGGAGCTGGAAATACTTCAGCTAAATGCGCTGACAGGGTAAAAATGCTCCTGCACAGGGGCTCGAAGAACAGACATATTCAGCAATACAATGTAAAACAATCCCTAGAGTGTCTCCAGCTAGAATGGTACTAAAAAGCCCCTGATAAACCCCCAGAAATGCTTGTGCCACACGTGTCACTGCAATGCCAGTGTGTATATAGCTACATCGCTATGGGCCATATATGACTCTGCAGTGTGGATACTCAAAGGAGGGTTTGGTAAGCATATATTTGCATGTATGGGAGCTCAGACACCTATAAACTCTGTAGTGTAGATAGACTCTTAATATGTGTCCTTACATTTGCCTGTATTAAAATGAGCTTAGTTAACTAAGCAATCCAGATAGTTCTGTATAACGGAACTGTCCTTATTATAAACTTTACCAGTGATGAGAAACCAATTTAAAATGATTCAAGATCAAATATGCCTACTGGGAGGGGGGAGAACCCAAAACAAACAAAACTAGACATGTTTCAAGTAGAGAAACAACAAGAAAATCTCCACACTCTGAATGGAAGTGAATGCATAAGTGAAAATCCAAACATAATGTAATCTTCTCTTCTCTAAAAATAATATCAACCATTATTCCCACTCTTCAGAGCAAGAAGCTCAAATAAGGCTGCAATGAGTAGCAATCAGCTTAATTGGTGATTTGATCAGCCTATAAAATTGGGAGATGATTTCTGATAGTAGAAGATTCTCTAGTCTATCAGACAAAGACATAACAAAACCTAATGTCTGGAAATTGAAGCTAAATAAATTCAGGTTGATAAATTTTAACAAGGAAGTTAATTAACCATTGGAACAACTTATGAGGGGACATGGTGAAGTTTTTAAATCAAGATTGGATGAGTTCCTAAAAGATATGGTCACTCCAAGCTGAACATGAGCTTCCAATGTGATACTGTGGCCGAAAAGGCTAATGTGATCTTTGGATGCTTAAACAGGAATCTTCAGTAGGAGCAGAGAGGTTATTTTGCCTCTGTATTGGGTACTGGTGCAGCCACTACTGGAATACTGTGTCCAGTTCTGGTGCCCACAATTCAAGAAGGACGTTTGATAAACTGGAGAGGGTGCAAAGTGCCACCATGAGAATGATTAAAGGATTAGAAAACACGCTTTATAGCAATACACTCATGGAGCTCAGTCTATTTAGCCTCAACAAAGAAAAAGTTACGGATGACTTCATCACAAACTATAAGTACCTACACGGAGAACAAATATTTGATAATGGACACTTCAATCTAGATCAAAGGGTGAAAATCCTGACAGAATATATTCAGAGGAGCAAAAACACAGAAATATAATTGTCATGAAAATGGAAAAAGTAAATGAATAACAAAAAATGAGAAGTGAAATGATATGTAGGAATATTTGTGTGAATCACAGTTAATTTGGAAAGATTTTTCATGAAACATCTGCTGCTATTTAAAGATCTCACATAGAATTAATTCTCTCTTCAAAATGGAGAGTCTAAGATGTTTTGGTTTTTTTACACCTAGTTTCGCCACGAAGATTCCAATGAAACTTTGTTGACATTGAAGATGCTTCAGTATGTACATTTAACAAGTGAGGTGAGTTATTTACTCTTATTTATTATGGGCACAATTGTGACTGATGTTATACATCTGCACTGGGGAATCAGGGGACATAAGAGGCCCCCTTAGCCCTTACACAGGTTACCTGTATAGAGCGTAGCAGCTCTGGTGTAGATTAAGTCCAAATGATATATCACCTTCTTTCCCATTGAAAGCAGGGCCTGTCATAATTTGAGGTGGAATTATGTATTTTGGAAGAAATCAAGCCAGCTTTGTTTCCATGCTCCCACTAATTATCATCTTCATAACCTATTTAAAAGTGCTAACAGTTTTATCTACTAGGTCATTGGAAACTGGATGGTAATGGGAAATTTAAATATGTTTTATCGCATTCCTGAGGGTGCTCCACTTTAGGTGAGTCTGCATCCCTTCACCTGCGATCGGAGATTCTTAGCAGTGCCCATTTGGCCCATACATCCCCCCCCCCCATTTTGTGTCACCCCCTGGCGGCTATATGGCACTGAGTGGCCAAACCGCCCTCAGTTCCTTCTCCACCGCCCTTGGCCTGAGATGGAGCCCTTGGCAGCACCTCCTTAGTTTCTTCACGTTTACCTTTTAGAGTTAGTGTTAGTATAGTTATACAGTAGAGTTAGCTATAGCTACCCTCCTCTCCCCTACTTATTTCTTTTTAAAAAATCAATTATTATTAGTTACCAGTAAAATTCTGTTCACCCTTATAGTGTAGTCTAGTTTTCACTTCCTTCACCTGGGGGAATGGTACTGATAGGGGCATGCCCAGATCTCTGGGGTTTAAACGCTGTCTTTCAGGCCGAGAGTCAATCCCGGTCAGTGATGGGTACTCTCAGTGTATTCACTGTGTGGGTGAGACACATGTATCTCAAAAGTGCCCCCATTGCCTCAACCTCAAGACTTGCACCAGAAAAGAAAGGGAGCTCAAGCTAAGGCTCATCCTGATGGAAAATTCACTGCACCCAGCTTCCAACTGCAGACCCCACTCAGACACCAGTCCTCACTGACCCCAGCGGTGGCTTCCAGCAGACATTCTCCACCACCCTCAGTAGTAGTGTAAAATTCTGCCGCACCTGTGTTGTCTTTATCTGTGATCCCATGTATGATGAAATGAAGTTGACCTCACATTTAATGATCTCAAATTCATGCTTAGGATTCCTGTTGCTGACGCAGTAGTAGGCGGACCAATTGTACAAACTGTGTTTAGTAGCCTTAAATTCAAGGGAAGTTTCCTGTTATGCCACTTTCCCTTTAGAGATTACCTTTCCTGTTTCCTGCAGGCATGGAGTAGAACCACTGTTCAACAAAACATAGTCTATCTACGATGGTGGTATAGACCCCACACTGTAGTAGCCATGAAAGAGTTGATAAGTGGATCAGTTATGTCTCCAGCCACAACTATGTTCAATTAGCATCAGCTCAGATAAAAGTCTGCAATTTAGGCAGAATACATGGTTGCCAGAGAGGCTGAGAGCTTGAGGAAATGGGCAGCAGCAGACTGGGAAGAAGTGGCCCAAGGAGACAGATCTCTGGGGGGAGAGGATTAGAGAGTAGCTCTGTGAAAGATGCTTGTAAACAGGCATAGATGGAAGCAACCCAGGGAAGCAGCAGGGGATCGTATGAAGCAGACTTTAGCTGATTAACACACGGACTCTGGGCTGGAATCCAGAGGGGAGAGAGGATTAACCTGGGTTCCCCTCCCACTCCCACAGAATAGAGGTGTGATTTGGGGGGGGGGGTGAGTGGGAGAAACAGGCCTTACCTGATCTAGTGCTGTTGTTTTCAGGTCTGTCCATTGTCCCTTGCTGAAAAGACCCTATAAATATCAATGGGGATCATAAGAGCCATTATAAATAGCTTTTAAAATAATTGTATTTTTCAAAATGTCAGGACATACTTATTTAAAAGATGCTTTACCAGAAACTTGAACTTTGAAAATCTGTTAAGTTTTTTTTTTAAATAAAAAGTTGAGTGTCCCTTTAAAAATATTGACTTAGTATTAGTGCAGTTATTACATAGGTCTTCTATCAAGCCTCATTTAGTTCAGCGTTCTGCCAACATACTGTTGGCTTGTTCTCTTAAGTCATTAATAGTAATCCCCTGACTCCGTTACAGGAAGCAGCATACATGAGGCTCCCAGAGCTGTGCATGAGAGTGGTGATGTCATGTTAATACATGAGAAAGTACAAGTGACCATCACCAGAACAGAACAGAGAAACTGGCTGTATACAAAGTACTGCCAAACGCACAAAGTAAACAAATGAAAGAAACAGATATTTTTCTGATAAATTCTTTCAGCTTTAGTAATCATGAGTGTTGTTTGCAACTATAATATGTAAACATTTTTCCAGACAGAAATGAGATTTTTCAGATCAACAACAGTGTCCCTTTAATATTATGATTTTATTCTGAGCTCCAGTGCAGCTTCTGTGGCTGAAGAGGTAAACTGGAACACAGACTGGGGAGTGACATTGGCAGTGTGGATTATATGAAGGATCATAGCTTCAAAGCATTACATGTAGATGATTTTTTTTTAATATTTATGTTTTTAGATGTACCGTCCATTTGGCCTTCATGTTGTTCTGATTGGATTAGAGCTTTGGACAGAAAGGGATCTCATGACAATTACTCACCTTTTGGATCAGGTTATTGTATTTTATTCGACCTATGTTCGAAAATTCCTTATGGGCCGTGTACGTTTCGACCACACAGAATTAATTGTGTAAGATTCTTTTATTTTAATCTTTAAAAATATGGTAATACTGTTCTTTATATTTATAACTGTCAATATTAAATTCAGACCTTGAAGATATTCTGCAAGATTTTGTTTGGAAACTAGACAAAGTACCCCCCACCCCAAAAAATGTATCCATTATTCTCCTGCGTAGCCCAGCTGGCCATTGCAAAATTAGGTTTCCCTTTGGGTTCTGTAGCCTAAGAGGCGTGAGCAGCCTGATAGTCTCCACCTACTTGGGAAAATCTTCAGTTCATTCTACCTCCTACGCAACAGCACAGATGGTTTCCAGACCTCCTGACCCTCATTGTACAAAGCAAATGTTAAACCCTGCTCAAATTTTAAATGTTTGGCCAGTCCTACAGTTTTTTATTCAGTTTGTTTCTTGTCATTGATTTTGGGGGCAGATTTGCTCAGACTTCAGCTCTATGGCATTCTGCTTTATTCACTATTCATGAACCAGGGTCCCAGTGTGCAAACATTCATAGATTATAAATCCATATGCGACGGTTTGATCGTCTTGTCTAACCTGCATAACACAGGTCATAAGACTTGCCTCTATTAATTCCTGTTTGAACTAAAGCATTGTAGTAAGAAGAGATCCTGAGACATAAACCCTTGTATCAGAGGCCTGGTATGAGGCAGATCCTGCTCGCAGAATCTGGCAAGAACAGGGCTGAAATTGCAAAAATACACATTCCTAAGAAGTGCTAGGCACAGAGTACTCACGCAAACACATCCCGATATCTAGTGGTACCAGAACATACCGATATCAAGGATGGTACAAAAACATTCCACAAGGATAACAGGAACACACTGAACCATCCTAAAAGATACGGTCAGGATGACAGTACATAATAAAGATGTTTTGATTGAACCAACATGTACAAGGTAATGGGTAATAACTAGCCATGCCAGGGGTCAGTAACTAACTTTGTCAAAGGGGCAGTACTAACTTGTTTGTATTGGGGTATAAAGATGTATCTCAGAGGGAGTATCTTTGTCTATCCTAAGGAGGAATGGAAAGTCCCGCCATTCTCCGAGCTCGTCTGTTGTTACAGGCATACATGTATTAGTGGTCTGGTAGAGTCTGCGGGATACTAATACTGTGCTTTGTCAACAATAAACCTGGCTGGGTGCCTTCGTCCCTTAACAGATCTTGTGGTGATTGGGTGGTTTGCTCGAGGTCTTCCCTGCCAGCTGTCTGTGCATGGCTGAGGCGGCACACAGAGGGACACACATACAATCAGCCAAACAGCTATCAACATCTAACAACAAGCATATCTTTTAGAAAAACATCCAATCTTGATTTTAAAATTGCCAGTGATGGAGAATCCACCACAAATCTTTGGTAAAATGTTCAAATGGTTAACTACCCTAACTTTTAAAATATGCGCCTTATTTCTGTCTGCATTTGTCTAGCCTTGACTTCCAGACATTGGATCTTGTTATAGCTTTGCTTGCTAGAAAATTATCAGTTCTTCACCGAGTGATGTCCCTGTGGGTGCTCCACTTTAGGTGTTCATGCACCCCTGCGCTCGTAATTGGAGATTTGTAGTAGGACGGCCTCGTTGGGTCGCACATGTGTGGTCCCCATCTTGTGTCACTTCAGGCGATTATCTGGCAGTGTGCGACCAACACCCTCCCCCCCCCATCAGTTCCTTCTCTACAGCCTTTCGCTTGAGTCGGATCATCCAGCAGTGCCGCAATACCTTTTATTAGCAGAATCTTTTTAATTAATTAGACTTAATTCTTCTCTTTGTAGTTATTCTTCTCTGTTAATTTCCTTTACAAAAATCCCCTTTTTTAGATCAGATAGGTTTCCATTCTTAACAGTTAGAGTAGAAATTTAATTTTTTTCCCCTTACAGGGGAAAGCACTCTTCCAGGTTCCCCGGGTTTTAAATGCTGCCTCACTTGCAGGTTTCAATACCTGTCTTTGATGGGCATTTACAGTGTGTCCACTGCCGCGGCAAGAAACATACCACAGAAGTGTTTGTACTGCCACAACCTCAAAGCCCAGACCAGAAAGGCGAGAGACTTACAACTTAAACTCCTCCTCCTAAACTGAAACCCCATGCATTGGCATTGGCAGAGCCGAATAAACACTCAGCACTGAGTGGCTCAGCACGTCTGCAGACAGTGGCACCACCTTCTGCAAGCACCATGCATTGGGTACGCACACCAGCACCCACAATCATGCTGCAAAAATCAGTACCAATAGCTATGTCTTCTACGGTAGCAATGCCACCAACAACACAACAATTCCTGCACCACAAAGACCTCATGATCATTTTGACACCTGAATCCCCTATTCTCGGCACTGACACCGCCCCCGCATGGTCAGTACCAAGCCACCTCACAACTCCATCATGATCTGCTCCACCGTTTTCGAGCAATGAGAACGACGAGGATGAAGGGGAAATATATTCTCCAAAATGTTCTTCTCTGGGCCACAATCCACGAAGACCAGACCCTCCGCACAGGGGATATTACATTGACCCCAAAGATACACACTGGTACGGTTACCCATGGATGCCACCAATGCCATTTTCCCCACAGTGGGCATATTGGAACCTGTGGGCAACATATCCCCCACAACACAAACCTTCCAGCCCACCCGGGGGAGCCTACATCATTCACCCACACCTTTGGTACCAGGACCATTGGAACCTATAGAAGAGGGGGCTGAAGAGGAGGAAGAAACCTCTGACCAGGAAATGGCACCAGCAACCCACTTTTCTTCATCTTCCCTTGAGGACACCATAATGATACCAACTCCCAACACAGGAGATGATTTCAAACAATTTCACGATCTTTACAAAAGAGTTGCGAGCTCACTAGACATTTCACTGGAAGAAGTCAAGGAGGCACAGCACAAACTCCTGGAGATTTTACTTACATCGGCCTCTTCCAAAATCACACTTCCTCTGAATGATGCGATTATGGAGCCAATTAGGTCAATCTGGCAGACTCTAGCAACGATCCCACCTACATGCAAGAGGTTGGATAAAAAAAATATTATGTACCGGTGAAGGAAACAGAATTCCTCTTCTTGCACCCTGTACCCAATTCATTGGTGGTGGACGCAGGTCATGAACGGGGCAGACAACAACACCCCAAAAACATGCCCTATGACAAGGACTGGAAAAGGGTTAAACTTTTCAGCCATAAGGCATACTCGTCTGCAATTCTACATCTGAGGATAGCCAACTATGAAGCATTACTGGCCAAGTACGATCATAATAATTACCCCAAAGTCTCAGAAATTATTACATTTATCTCAGAATAGAAAAAAGAGCAATTCAGGTCCATAATATTGGAGGGACAACTTATGACCAGGACGGTACTGCAGTCTGCTCTGGACTCAGCGGACACAGCAGCAAGATCTGTAGCCACTGAGGTGGTGATGAGAAGGGCATCTTGGCTCCATCAGTTTGACCATGTGCTTGATTGTTTGAAAAGTGTGAATTGGGAGTGCCTTGTTCCAGGTGGGCCTGATTGTTATAAAAAGGCAGCCAGTTGCGAACCAGCTAAGCGGCGAACAGTGGAGAGGCTAATAGAAGAAGTTCACCTGAGGAGAGTCCACTGAGGCTTTCATCTTGCAGGCTTCTCTGAGTAGATACTGCAACAGCTGAGGAAGCTCTTAGAAGGAAGGTGATATGGATGGTGAGCGATCTGCTGTTGTGACCTGCATAGGATGTGCCATGTTTGTCTTTCTTCCACAGGACAGAAGGGACTTTGTCTGTACAAAGTGCAAGCTGGTGTCCATATTGGAAGAGAAGATTCAAGATCTGGAGAAACAAGTATCAACCCTGCTTTGCGTAAGAGAAAATGAAGATTTCCTGGACAGACATCAGGATATGCTTCTTCGGGCACAACATTCTGAAGAATCAGAGCAGGCTGCGCAGCTGGGACAGAAAGACGGTGAAGAAACTTGGCAGCATGTGACCTCCAGAAGAAGAAAGAGGAGCATCCATGTACCAGCAATGGAGATACAGGTGTGCAACCGTTTTCATGTTCTCTCCATAGGTACTAATGCAGAGAGTGGACTAGATGATACATCTGAGGGAAGGGAGCAGAAGGAGACTCTACTGATTGGAAAGCATGAGATGCACTGTCCTAGGTATGGGGGTTCCACAACCACCACTCCCAAGAGAAAGAGGCGGGTGGTGGTGGTTGGGGACTCCCTTCTAAGGGGGACTGAGTCATCTATCTGCCGCCCCAACTGGGAAACCCGAGAAGTGTGCTGCTTGCCAGGAGCTAGAATTCACGATGTGATGGAGAGACTGCCAAGACTGATCAAGCCCTCGGATCGCTACCCCTTTCTGCTTCTCCACATGGGCACCAATGATACTGCCAAGAAGGACCTTGAGCTGATCACTGCAGACTACATGGCTCTGGGAAGAAGGATAAAGGAGTTTGAGGCGCATGTGGTGTTCTCATCCATCCTCCCTGTGGAAGGAAAAGGCCCAGGTAGAGACTATCGAATCATGGAAGTCAACGAATGGTTACGCAGATGGTGTCGGAGAGAGGGTTTTAGATTCTTTGACCATGGGATGGTGTTCCAAGAAGAAGGATTGCTAGGCAGAGACGGGCTCTACCTAATGAAGACAGGGAAGAGCATCTTCGCAAGCAGGCTGGCTAACCTAATGAGGAGGGCTTTAAACTAGGTTCAGTGGGGGAAGGAGACCAAAGGCCTGAGGTAACTGGGAAAGTGGGGTACCAGGAGGAAGCACGAGCAGGAAAGCGCAAGAGGGGAGGACTCCTGCCTCATACTGAGAAAGCAGGATGATCAGCGAGTTATCTTAAGTGCCTATATACAAATGCAAGAAGCCTGGGAAACAAGCAGGGAGAACTGGAAGTCGTGGCACAGTCAAGGAATTATGATGTGATTGGAATAACAGAGACGTGGTGGAATAACTCACATGACTGGAGTATTGTCATGGATGGATATAAACTGTTCATATCAACTGTTCAGGAAGGACA